TTTATTAAATAAATTAACAATTTGTATTATGACTTCGATTAAATTAATTTCTTATAAAGTTATAACTATTAAATTAAGTAACAATAGTGGTGTCGACAAACTACAAAAGCCGCAATCGTCACTGGTCAGTGTGTCTATTTTAAAAATATCGGGTGTAGAAAGTCTAATATCAATAAAACCGACGCGCGACGGGTGTAAAATTTATCTATATAATATATATATTTTTATAGTGTCAATAGCCGAGTATCATATTATTATTACAAGCAGTTACCCTGAATAATAATTATATTATACRTTTCGGTACGTCGCTATTATAAATAAATTATAATARTGACTTTTTTTTTTTTATCAAACAATATCGTTATAATATTATTATATTATAATATATTTAACACGAGTTGTAAATCAAAAATGAATAACGTTATACTGATAGATTTCAATGTTATTTGATTTACGATGCATCATTGATACGAATATTGTTTAATATTATAAAACTAAAAATTGATCTGCACAGTACCTCAATTACCCGATTCTTTTGGTCTTGGATGGCTTTTGAATTTGCATCGCTTGCTTGTTCCAACACTTCCAACATTCGTTTCTCTTGAACCAACTTTTCAGGTAGTTGTCCACTCTTGGCCAACGAAGCAAGCGATCGTTTGTATTCTGGCAACTGTCCGGTTCTGGCTAGAGAAGCTACATTCCTCTTGTCGAAATTAAATGGGAACGCATGTGAAACCTGCCATAACATAACCTCCACATATTATCACATATTATATGACGTACAATATAAGTTTTTTCTTTCAAAAGCCCCCAACGAATCATAAACTTGTATTATGCGTTTTAAAAAACTTCCATTTATCACGAAAACCGTATAACCCGTATTATGTCAACGTTGGGCCAATATTACGTTTATTTTGGGTTCGTTTTTATATTTTTTTTATAACTTGCGCGTTATTAAAGTACAGAAATGATTACGCTGGGGTTGCATTCCTTGAACATCAAAGATCGCGTCATCCTGTTTCCACAGTTGTGGTTATCTTAAAGCATACCTTTAARAATTCCATAGTATTACAGTAATGATTAAGTGTAAATCGTTTAGACGTGTGATGTCCATTTTTTAGCGTATAATGGAAAGATTTTTTAGACTCTACCATCGAATATGACTATTTATAAAAATTCTAGTGTTGCCATTGAAAATTGCGATGGTAAAAAATATAATYATAATATTATAATAATCTTGATTCCATGTAATATGTAATTTGTAAAAAATGTTATTTAATATTATTTACCAATAATTAGAAAAAATAGGATATCAATTCAATGGCAAAGTGAAACAAAGCACGGACTACATAGGTATAAATTTGTGTGAACATCAGTTTGAAACGACGAATTTATTATTTAAAAATGAGTTTAAAGATAGGTATTATTTCTGTATTTTATATGATATGTTGCGCGTATATTAGCACTCAGCTGCAGATACACATATAGGTACGTATATATTTTCCATTTATCGTATTTTTGTTCGCCGAAATATGATGGTTAGTTTCCCTTTCAAATGGAATTGCTGACGTCAAGTTTCAAATCTCARATCTGTTCATACGTTCTTTTTTAAATAGTTTTCACATCAAAAAAGGTACACTTTTTGTACATTTTCAATTTAAGAATATTCGGAAAAATGTTAACATTATCTTTTGGGAATATTTTTCATATTTATTCTAATAGGTATTTTAAAAGTTTTAGATTCTGGGCGCATTGAGAAATGTATCGATATTACAAAAATAGTTGTTTTTTTACATAATATTTTATTGTGGTTATACAGATTTTTAAATATCACTAAAATACATATAAGATTCATTAAATTTTATCAGTGTAGATTGGAAATTGGTCATARATGATATGCGGTAAAGTTTTTTTAGGAGTTTTTCAATTGTAGTGAAAAATATTTTGTTAAATTCTTAAATTATAATTTCACATGCACTATCACATTTAAATTTGTTATTTTATTGTTGTAATTCATAAACCGTACCTCTTACTTCACTATGTCAAACTTTTTATTAATATTAGTTGTTGCTTGTTGTATACGAATTTAACAACGGGTATTATGCGAGTGCAAAAAATGTAATTCATTTTTTTTATGTTATAAAATAATACCTARGTATGTTTTTATCTTTTTATATCTAGTAAAGAATTTTTCAATTTGGCAATAAAGTTCCATACGTATGCTGTAATAATCTCAAAGCGTTTTATGTGTAGTTAAATGTATGGTTTGTCAAAGATAGGTAAGTAAACTATTCAAATTTTTACTACAGATTTAATATAAAATATTAATCTTATTATATGATATGAAATAAACGTATATGATGTGTGTGTTTGTGTATTATAATAAATATTTAATTTAAGAATTCGTGCATAGTTCGTTTAAATTCTAAATTAAACGGAATGTTGTAAAAATATATTGATTACAGCCTGGTGTATAGAACTGACACGATTTAAATCGTTCCCCTACACCATTTATTAATTGTTCTTTTAATTGATTTTTTGTGCAGATACTCTCATTGAATATACTATACAGGTTGAACTATAGGGGTCCATTTGTCTGCAATAATATCTCCTGTCGAATTTTGGTTTTCAATTAATGTCTTTAATTTAAGGGTTTTTTAAATTTTCTGATTTTTAATCAAGTTAATTATTTTATAATAAGTATTATGTATATAAAATATATATGATGGATTTGAAAAATACGGAAAATTGTCTTTTGTTTGTTCATTTTATAAAATGAGCATTGTCTGAAGACTGCAAATTGCATATATAGTTGCTAAAATATTATTATATTTTTTTGGTTTATCCATTTCTCTTACTTTATAACATATATTTTTCATAATGGGCAGTACCTACTTGGGGAGATATATTTTTCTGTTTATATTTAACATTCTGAGTGTAATGATGTATGTATTGATTTTACAACGGTCTGTGGTTTTTTATTCTCTGTGTTTATACACACGAAAAGTAACAGGAAAAATGTTTCAATTTTCAATATTAAGGGTGGTTGCTAATAATAAATTGGATATAGAGATATTTTTAAGTGAATATCCTCTGAATTTTTCAAAATCATCGAGAAAAACTAACCTAAAAGATAAACTGACATTTTTACGCTAAACAAGGTTTTGTCAAAATCAGTTTTGTTTTTTGATTTAACTCTTAAACGAATAACCATAGATAATTCAAAATATTTAAATTAGCATTTAAAAAAATGCATATTTATATTTTAATGTTTTTTGAGCTATTTATAGACATTTGAAAACTTTTTTATAATTTCTAACAATCTATAGGTGAATATAATACTTAATATAAATTTTAAATTATTTAGTAACTATTATTAATATCATTATATTATATTATTATCAGTTTGCCACATCATTTTGGCTTTGAACCGTTTTTAGTATAAAATGATTTTTTATTGAATTCAAATTCAACATATCTATTTGACTCTTATTGTACATCAGATTATCAGAGCTGTTACTTACTATTCCCTTCAAAATTCTCAATTTATTAACTAGTAATTAATTTGGATAAAATAAGCCTGATACTATAAAATGTAAAATGTAAATTTATATTATCAGTAAAATAGGTATAATATGTAATCAATCAACGAAGATAAGTATTTCATGTTTAAAAAAAAGGCTTAAAGTATAGCTACCTATATTTCAATTTGTGCAGTAATTTGTTTTACATAAATAATGTCAATAAATAAATTAAATATCATCATCATTACTCTTAAATTATAACTATTTACTTCCATAAATTTGAGTATTAATTGGTATTAAATTGTCACATAAAAATGTCAAAAATGTAATAAACTGTTTTAGCTCAACTGCTTAAGAACTTACTTTTCAATACGATTGTAGAAAAATAATCAAATAAAATTCATCTTCTTGAGTTTTATAAATAACGTCCCAGTGTTCTCATATAGATATGGATACGTTTTTTTATTTTTTTATTTAACATACAAATAATACATGCCATATTTATATTTAAAATATAATTTAAGTTAGTAACTTTTTAAAAAAGTTACATTTTATCATTCAGAATTAAAACATTGTTATTATAGTTAGGGTTGATACAGTTAAATTAATTTCAAATTTTACAAACCATTAATTTTAATCTAACCGAAATATTTGCACTAGAATTTTTATAATTTCTCTTTATTACTCTTCTTTAATTATAACTAGTTTTTTTTTTAAACTTGAGGTGTATCAGTATTACATGGTTTATAATTTAAATCAAAAATATATTTTTGGATTAAATGATATACTCTATACAAACCTTATACCTACTGAATTGGAATAATAAAAAGAAACAAATCTATTTAGTTGTTTGTGGTTTTGTATAACGTTATTAAATTGGTATACATTGATTAATGAATCATCACGAATTCAATTTTTTTCCCCAAACGAAAACCTACGTTTCACAATACATTTTAAGCAAAATATGTAAATTAGATTCTGAATGGAGCAAAGAATGTATTTAAAATTCTCAATGTACTAAAATCGAAATTTCAATCATTATGTTATTGTTAAATATGCTTTATTTTAATTATTCTAATATATTTTGATAATTATTCATTTATTTTAATAGGTAATCAATAATTGTAAATTTTAAGTTTTTAAGAGTTATGAATGGAAAAACTATGAACTGAAACACTAAATTAAATATTATCTCAAAAAAGGAAAAAGTTCGACGCCTAAGACTTAAGAACGGGGGTTAAACGTCCGCAAATAAGTAATCGACTGACACACACAGACATAAATTATTATATGAATTGAAAAAAAAAAGGAAAAAATATAGGAAATGCTATATCTATAGTTATTGAATTGTATTTATGAATTATGTTACTTCGAGTTCCGGCCGAAACTATATTTTTAATCTTCTGATCAAATATCAATAGTAATATATTATACTTCCAATGACTGAGAACCCTTGGTAAATCGGAAAATTTAAAATTGTCAGATTCKATTGAAAATCTAATTTTTAAAGTATAATTCAATATTGGAGCCTATTATTTATTCATTTATTTTTTAATACCTCTAGATTGTTATTAAATAAATAATTCGTTCCCGGTTGAATAATTATAATTGACTAAACGGATAGGTACTCAGCATACAACTAAAGTAGTACATTTTTTATGGTAGGTACGAACTTTCATGAACTGCCAAGTCTGATTTATACTTAAAGTTTACTAAAAGAATACAACTTTTTTTTTTTAAATTTATATTTGTGTTTATTGCTTAGCACTATTATAAGAAATTTCAATTGAAAATGAACGATTTTAATAGTTTAACAATATTATGGCTATGTGGTATATAACAATGCCGATTGTCATAAACATAACCTATAGAATTTTATGATATAAACGCTTATTGATTTTTGAGATTACTAGTTACTATGAATTAATATTTTTTTAAAAGATCAAATTCGCAAAAGGCATAACTTATACTTCTTGTACTAGATGTTTATGATATAATGGAAGACTACAAAATGCTACTAGTATAATAAAATATATTATGTGAAGTAATTTCATATGTGAATAAACCTGACKATTTTTTATAATATGAAGTAATATTATTTTTTAATTTCAGTTCTCATATTAGCATGTTAGCATGTATACAATTCAAATATAACTATAAAACTTAGAACCGACTTCTTATAACACGCATTAAAAAAAAAAAATTAAATTTACAAAAATTGTGATTCAAGTATGGGGTTTTAATTAATTATTGTCCAACTAGATTAAAACTTGAATCTTTCAATCAAACATTTAAAGAATTATACTTAAAAGCTTCGTTTTACGTCTTAAGTTAAATGAAACATATATATATATATATATATATCTTAAAATAGAAATAAATCATAAAAATAATTTAAGATTACAAGAAACTGCTTAAAAAACCATAAATATTACGCAAATACTCTTCTGTTTGCTGCTTAGTTTCAGATCTTCTAAAAATTGTATGCTGGTTTGCATAAAAAAATTGATTAAATTAATGGACTAATCATGAGTTACAAAATCATGTTTAAGGGACCAAAAGCTTATAAATGATTCATTAATGTTTAATGATTGTTTGTGCAACCCAACTCTATAATTTATCTTATAAGCGTTTAAAACCAATAAATCTCAAAATGTTGCAGAGATCTTTTTAATTTATATTACTTATCCATCGTAATATAATAAAAATATTTATTGGATAGTTTTAAAGTGTATACTATATTTATTATTGCATTACTTGTACGCAGTGTTGAGACTTTTGGAATTGCTATCTATTATCTTTATCTTTATAAATTCCTCTCGATAATCTATTATCTTTATCTAGATGATATTTTAGTTATCTATTCCCAACATGGCTTGTACGTATAATGTGCATTCATTTTATTTAAATCAAAACCATTAAAAACGAAGTATGTGAACATATATTTGTATTTAAGTTATTTTTTTCAAAGTGAATTTAGATTATTTTTCACTGTGAAATAAATAAATTTATTACATTATTTTACAGTACAGTAAGTTTGCAATTTAGTTAGTTACCTACTATGATGATGTTTGTACGAATGGCATGCCATATATTTTATTGTAACTATAACACAACGGAAAGTATTTAAGCGAGCTAATCCATTTCTATTAACGGTGAATGCAAAGAATTCTTAGCGTATTTAAAATATTTTATTTATAATTCATTATTCTACAACTTAAAATCATTTACTTTGTGTTATTAAATTACTATGTAGTTTTAATTAATTACTTAATTTTAAATTTACCTAACCCTAAACATCGTAATTTATCTTCTTTGAATCCATAAATTTTAGATATAACTAATAAGTATTACAATTTAAATAAACTTAGTTTGAGAAATTTGACTTTTTTGGTTAAAAATTTATCGGCAATATTAAATTAACGCAGCATACAATAGTTATATACAATAAATACATAATATCATGGATATTAGTTTTAAGAAAAATTAACTATTAATAAATATTTGATTAATTAAAAATTCTAAATACGCAGTTGTATAAAAATCCAATATTTTGGTCTATGTTAAACGATTATATGTACATATTTTAATACTTCTAATTACATATAATTTATAAAAATATTCTTTTTGAATTAAACTACGAGTACACATAAATATTAATGTACATACAATATTTATCAATAAAACAAAAATAAGATACACTCTTATATAAATTATTATTTACAAAACACTAGTTGGCAGTTGCTTTAAAAAAATGTATAGAAATAATTCAATGGAATATCTTTGTCTATATATTTTCAAGTTAATATGAGTCTTTATTTGAAAAATGTTTATAATATTTTGATAATACTTTTAAATGCGGGGAAAGTCACTCTGTTGTATATTATATTTCGAGTGCGCCTTATCATTTAAGAAAGCATTATTACAGTGGTTAACACACAATGTAATTTAATACACCTATTACCGATATGTYAAATTTAAATTTAATATTGTATACAAAAAACTTTTTTMAATGGAAACRTTGAGCCTCTATTTTAAGGSTATTATATAATTCATTTATTAAAGCGTACTGTTGGAAATTTATTTTCTATAAATAGTTGAACTTCTTTTTGGTAAAAAATATTAAGTCTAAATATTTTAAAAATGTCAAATGTTGATTAATAATACAAAAAATTMAATTGTACTATGTCTAGAAAACACGTATTGCATCAATACATATTTTCGTTTTACTGTTAGTTTTTTAAAGTTTTTTTTTCAACTTATAATAAAAGTATGGGGAAGTGTTTCCACGAAAGTACTTATMAACTAGATCCAATTTGCTACCAGAAAGCATCTTGATATTAAATTGAAGATTATAAGATTTTTACWGTCCCGAAACTATAAAACTCAGATAGATACAAAACATTAAATTAAAACCTTTTAAAATAACACCATTGAAAAACCAGTACATTCATCACTTAACGCCATAGATACATTTAATGAAAAATATTCCTTAATATATATTTTTAGTGGATTATTTATTTCTATACCTAAAAAGTAGAAATTAATTAGCTTCAAATATATTACATAACTACTGTTTTGCTTAATCCTYTTTTTGTTTTTAAGCATTAAATTGTATATAATAGTTTTTTTCATYGTTGATATTGAATTATAAAAATAAATCGATAAGTGACTGTGTATTTTATTATTGAATCGAATTATCCTTATCCAAATTTTAACGAGTAAATATTTTATTTTTTATATTTGTTTTTTTTTTTTTTTTGAGTAATTTGGAGTCATTGAACAGATTTTACTACTGTAATTCTGTTACTAAATAGTTATAGCATATTCTAAAAAGAAACAACATGCGTTACGGTCGAAAATAAAAATAGTTCGTCGTCGTTACCGAAATCTATACTGTAACGTAACGGTACAGTATATAAAAAACAACAACAACAACAATGACATTAATCGGTTATCCAAAACGGTTACCTCGAGTAGGCAGGCCAAGGCGGCCAAGATCGTTGCGGCTTTCATCGGTCTCCGGCTGCGTGCGGCTCGACAACGACGACGAAAGTGATGCGGTCGTGTCCGTGTACCACCGGCGATTTGCGACGCGAATACTTAGTGACGTCTCTGCSGCCGAATCYCGCTCATTTATCTGCGGCGGGWTCCGCTGGGACGCAAGCGCCTCCCGGCATCGCGTGGACGCGCAAAAATGGTACGACACGAAGACCGAAAAAAACACGCAAGCGCGCAGCCCACCCACGCCTACGCGAGTATTGCATTACGCCATTACCGGAAACCGGGCAAGTACCTGCAGTATTAATATATGTGTGTGGGTATATGCATAATAACCCTATTGGATACGATCAACTATATCTACTATAATAATAATTACCAGTCATCGTAATGAGGTGAACGCGTTTGGGGGATTTCGACGGGGATGTCGTATGGGTTAGAGGAGGGGGGGGAGTGCGGGTGAATCATCCAACGACGAAACCAGAGAGGTGTATATTATTTTWATTTTAATGATAAGTGGAAAGACCGAATGAAATACTAATATAATACCTGTAATAAAAATGTATCGAAAGAATTATATAAGTTCTCGTATGTTAGGTATACATATTATATTATATACGCGCACRATATTATCGTGTCGATTTCAGAGGAAAATTATTGTCCCGAGGAGACCCCCAAGATTCCGGTTACTCGATATTATATATATATATGTCGTTTAAGGTCACGATATTATTCGACGTGATAGACCTCGTTACAGCGGTGGTGAAATGGATCGTTAATTATTGAACGTTGGGTATCGTAAGGTACCTATATAATATAGAGATTTAGGACATATTTCATAGGTGTATGATATATTTCTCACATATATTATAATAAATAAAAAAAATGCCGAAAATCGATTACAATTAACTAACTATTATGTAATTACACTTTAGAGAACTAATTTGGTTTWAAATATATAATATAATTAACATCAACCATAATTCATAATATAAAATATAATATTTGAATTTAAAAAAAATTTATAGGAATAATAGTATAGATAATAACTAATAATATACTTATTAATTAYGCCAACCATAGCCAATTAATGATATCTGTCAGTTATTATTTCAATTATACTCTACGTGAATATATAGTTTTACTTCACTCTCGAATGGGAGCRACGGACAAACTGATCACCACACATTCCCAGAAAAAGGAGATAATTACTCAGTTAGTTCAATTAATTGTTGTGAGCCGCGGGCTCTGAAAAGTTTGACGGATGTGTCTGAATAATTTTTTTCAATCGCAAAGTTTCATGTGAATCAATTTGGAGTACGCAACTATAGTGTATCTACCTATATTAATCTAAAAATAAATATATAATAAACTAGAAAAATTGAAATGAGTTATAGCAAATATTATCATTACCTACACAATCAAGTCAAATAATAAAGATGAGGATTGGTAGTATAATTTTGTATCACAAAGAATTTATTTATTTGTTTAAAATATAAATATTTCATTAATTTATAAATATTATCATAACAAAAAGATCTAGCGGTTCGATAAGCGTACCTATTATATATATATAATATTAAAATTCGCTTTGTATTTACTCTAAMAAATAAACGTAATATATTTTATAATTATAATTAAGAAAATAATATTATGTTTGGACATTAAGGATCCTGGAATAATGTTAAATATTATGAATATAATAATAGTAATAATATTATTTAAAAACATAACTATTAATGTTACAAACTTCAACAAAGGTCAAAGAATAAAAAATACCCTCGATGGGATAAGTAATATAAATGTATTTGTTCAACAAATACATTTTTTGTAATGAACTTTTTTAACCTAAAAAATATATTGAGTGATAAACTTCTACAAAATGATAAAATTCAGGAAACTTGATATAACGAAATTAAAATACTAATATGAATAGTAGGTAAATGTTGTATTGTTATCAGAAAGTTATGTCTATCATAATGTGAGCTATGTTCTAGTAAAAATCATTGTTTCCGATGAATATATTGTTGTGAATAACAAGAAAATTCACTAAGATATTATATTTGTATACAATAAATTATATAAACTGCACAACTTAATATTGAAATTAAATTAAAATCCATTATTCATGAACAATTTTTAAATAGTATACTAAAATGAAAAATAAGTACTAAGTATATATATAAAATCATTTTAGAAATAAGCTCTTTCAATATATTTAATTCATATCGGTCATCTTTCAGTATAAATAAAACTATTCGTTTAAACATTGGAAAACAGATTAACACAATTTAAATACGAGCAAAAAGGTGTTTTCATTTTATAGAGAACTTTAAAATGTATCTAAATCGTATCTGCTTACATAGATATGTAATTATATTTCTTATTCATCGAACATCAGTGAAGAAAAAAAAATTAAAAAATTAAAATACGAACAAATGTAATTACAAAAACGTATAAACAAATTTCACGTTTCGCCAGTATGTACTATATATATATATAGTGTAAAGCAACAGATGTGTTGGTATGCGTCCTAGACAAGTGCTGTCACGTTAAATCCGAGATAAGGACTAGAATCATTTATTATCAATGAACTGTAAAAACGATTTCAACAGCTGATCTTGTTTTATTTTTTTCTGCACATTTATTTTATAACACTTATACGTTTTTATCGAAAATAAAAAACGTTTATGAACGTTTTGTGATTTTAACACATCTGAAATGTAATATACGTCTGATTCTAGATCTTAAAGACATAGCACGAAAATAACTGTCAAGAATGTTCACTGTGAGTATTGTTGCGTGTACAACATTCTTTATTTTCTACTTCGCAAAAGTCTCGTCAACGGATTTTTTTTTTAATAGCGACCAGACGACTTTGACGGCAGTATATTGTAATACGATAAAATAAAATGACAGTAATAATAATAATAATAATACATCATGCCGAGACCCAAACCAATCATAATATCCAGATAAGACGTTTGGTTATAATCAATTTCTTAGTTCCGACTCCGAATATGCTAAACTCTCGTCACACACGGAAACGCGCTGTGTATTCATCAGGCATCAGTCATCACAGTCACACATATAATTCTCCGATGCTAACCGAACTATATAAACACGTACTCAAACTTTCAGAAACTCTATGAGAAATCCTCGCACCTTCGACAAAAGCTATCAATACGCTAATCAAATTTATATTAATGAAACTGAACTCCGTCAAATAATTTGAAACAATTTAACAACTTTAATCAGTAAAATAATCGTAACCGCTAATGTCCTCATCGTTGATACCATAAATATGAACCATTGCAATATGATATTAAATTTAAAGCAATATATTTATAATAATGCATAGCGTTACAATTATTTTCTTGTAAAGTATCAACTTTATAATTTAAATTTTAGATAATTTAGACATAAACAAAACTACATTTTTGAAAAAAAAAACTGTATTTTTAAGATTATTATTTTTTTGAACGATGGTATCGGATTTTAATTTTATATTCGTAAGCAAAATATTTTCATAGAATTTAAATATATGAACATTGATTTTTAAATTTTAAATAAGTAGGTATTTAAACAGCTATACAAATATTTAAAATGTTAATAAAYGGGGTAGTACGCCACCATTTTTTTTGAATACCACCTGTAGAGGCCAATACCACTTTATTCCATTCATTTTTATAAATAATTAATACTTTGTTTGAATTTCAGTTTTCATAAATATAAATATCTATAAAACAAATATGCTATTCAGGAATATAAAATCGAAAATGTATGTTGATATGTTGTTATTCAAAAAAAAAAAGGAAATAACTTAAAATTCATGTATATATATTTTATTTTTTGATAAATGTGCGTGTTGTAACAAATAAAAATTATGCAAAAAAATATTTCTTACAAAGTTAAGGCTTTTCAAAGAAATGTGTTTATTACTGTTTGTCTTTAAAAGAATCACTTTGAGACGTATGAAAAATGGCCTAGATGATGTGTGGTGCTGGTGCACATCAAATATCCGATATTTAATTAATTTATAATTGACTCTTTGTGTTCTACTCGAGATTTCCAAATTCCCATCAATGAGCGTAATTATATGATTATTTTTAGTAGTATTCTGCGAAACTTCACCACGAGTTGATTGAAAACCCTTCGGTTTAACATAATTCTGTATCGTGATTGTGTATTTCAAATTTCCATTATACCTAAGCGTAGGTATATAATGTACGTGTGGTGTGTACCTATCGAAATAATAATGGTTTATATTTATAGGTTATTACATAATATAATAATAAACTCATATTTTGGCAAYAAACATAACAAAACCATAACACTATTACCATTCACGTTACAGGTACCGCATTGTTCCCTAAAAATGTTTATCATATAAATTGAGTATCGATATACATTTTTCGAACAAAAGAAAACGTTGTTGACATGAAAAAAAAACATCAGAAATGATAATAATTTATATTGTTTGTGCAATGACGTATTTAAAGCCTATAATACTAATTTGYCTCCGAATGAATATTTATGAAACGTCTAAAACTCTAACGATTGTAAATTACTTGGACTGACTTGAGTTTATTATTTTAACTCCTCGAAAGCTTGTACACGAAAATACTTAATTTTTAAAGCCAAACGTACATAAATCTTCCGCAGAATATATTACCATAGTTTATATACAATAAGCATTTTTTTTTAAGACACATAATATTGTTACGTATTGCACTWTAATTATAATATTATAGATAAGGTAAATTATCGTTATATTCGTCTTAAGTGATGAAATGTAGCATATTATATGGAATGAGAATTAATATATTTCAATTACATATATTTTTGTTATTACCATGCATTTAAATTTTAGATATCATAATAACTCATAATCCTAGATTTCACACATTAATTTTAACATGCAACTGTATGACTTAAAATAATATAACACCCATCAGAGTTATATTATTTAAAAAAAAATATGATTAACTTTAAAGTTCCAAAATTGTACTTGGAAATCCATTTCTGTTAAATGTAACACACATGATACATTGCGCATATTTTAKGAGTTGAAAAAAATAATTACATTATTTCAACATAAGACTTTACATTTATTTTATTTTAAACATTT